TCTTCTCAAAAATCTTGTGGTGGAAACTGGGGCACTTTTTTTTTTTTTTTACAGTGGAAAAACTAATTTTCTGAGTGTCTATGTATCTGGCCCAGAGCTACAAAGCATGCACAAGATAGGGCTTAGGTTTGAACTGAGCCTGTCTGACCTTCACCTATCAGATAAACATAAGGAGGATGAAACACAGATAGTCCAATCCTGCTGTTTCCTGTTTCAAGCATGGGCTTCACTTAGCCCATCACCACCCACCACCACTTCCCATAAAAGTCTATGTTGAGTAAACAAATTTATTAAAACAATTTTTTTTAAAAAAGATGCTAAATTATTAGTGAGTCTCCTCTCAAAACTCTCCAAGAGAACTTTGAGAAGTAATAAGAAGGATTTAAGAGGGTTGAGTAATGAACTATATTTAAAGTATCCCTATAACTAATATTGAATATGATCCTAAAGAAAGATTAATGGTCCGAGATGTCCACTGTGGAGAATAGGAGGTTGAGCAGAGATTGTAAAAGGATTTTATAATATTTGAGGAACTTGTTCTCTGGAAGAAAACTTGACGTGGAAGTTTCAGGGAGGCACATTTTATCTGAGCCTTGGAAAGAACTTTCTGTTAACTATACCTGTTCAACCGTGGAATGAATTGCCCCCCAAACTCACTTGGTCCTTGTCACTACAGGCATTCACCAGAGGGTGGACAGCACTCAGTGAATCCGGGTGAGGTATCCCAATATTCAGAAGAAAACTGGAATAGAAGACCATTCTAATTCTGAGGTTTTTTCACATTTTACATGAAATAAATGCTTCTAGGCGAGTGTGGTGGCTCATGCTTATAATCCCAACATCTTGCAAGATGGAGGAAGGAAGATTGAAAGTTTGAGGCCAACCTCAGCAGCTTAGCTGGGGCTCTGTCTCAAAAAATAAAAAGGACTGGAGATGGAGCTCCAGTGGTAAAGCACTCCTGCATTCAATCCTTAGTGCATAAAAGAAAGAGTGTGAGTCATTTATTTTAATATATTTTAATATAATTCAGAATCTATTATCATAAAAATTACCAAAAGGGGAAATATATGTTAAGTGAAGGGAAAAAATATTTAATCTCTTTAAAGAACATATACTTGGAAATAACTAAGAGCTATTCTAAGTACCAAGGACTCTATAAAGAAATTCATATTTTTGAGAATATTGAAGTATTAAAAAATTCCTAAAAATGTTACAGCTCTACTTGAATACAGTTCACTAGAAGAAATGAGAAAAACATGCTGTTTAGAGAAAAATTATGAGTTGCCAGAAGTTCCAAAGGTAGTTTTTTGACAAAAATAGCGAACTATAAGAACATGGTAAAGTTGACACTGAGGTCAACCATAAAGCAAACAGGAAGTTAATATGAAGACTGAAAAATGTGGAGGCAGATGAAGTTCTCTACAAAAGCTTGACTGGTTCCCAGTCTTTTTCTTGGATGCTTGAACATCTGCACCCTATAAACCACATTCATATAGTAGAGCCTTGGAAATGCATGCTCAATTAAAGTGCAGATACCGAAGCATTTCAGTGTTATAAATTATACTGGAGTGTGTGTGTGTGTGTGTGTGTGTGTGTGTGTGTGTGTGTCATTTGCAGAAAACACATATGCATGAGGCTTTTTGAATATGCTGTACTATCTGGTCAGTGTGCCATTTCCATTTTGTTTTCTTAGGTTTTTATCAGCTAAACCCCTTTATATCTAAGGGATAGTAAGATTGAGCAAAGTAGTGCAAGGTATATTAAGGTGCCATGATTTTCCTAAAAAGAAGGAAGGTGGCCTTCAAAAGGCATAAAGGTGGTATGCCTATAACCATAGCTCATTGTCAGCACTGAGTCTGAGCTCAAATGTTATTAGGATTCTTGAATTTAGCATCATTTATAAAGGACATAAAAAGGGAAGGTGCTCAGTGTGAAGTGGGCTTAAGGAACATGGGAAGGAATTAGAGTTTGAAGAAAGGCAGAATTTGRAGTGCAGAAATTTGATATACCAAACTTGCTGTATTTTTAGGATACTGAAAAGTAATATGATCATGTCAGTTTCAAGCCTGCTGAAATGTTTTCTGCATATTTGTAAACACCACATTCATAAAATGTATGAACCAGTTTTTTGGGTTTGTAAAATGCTAACTTCTGAGGATGGACTTGTACCCCTTTGCTGTTCCTCATCAGACTCCCCTCCAAAATCAGGGACAGCATCATCATTCCCTGTGAAAATACCATTAGTCAAAAGTGGAGGAAAAAAGTTTCTGAAAAACTAATGTAGAGATTTTGCTAACAATTCTGGCATAAATTACCCCAAAGATGGAAGAACAACTTTCTGTCTTGGAATTCATCTTTCTTTGATCTTCACCTCTTTTGCAGTGTAGTCTCCAAATCAATTCCCTGGAGGTTTTGTGCTTCTCTCCTTTAATCGCCATTAGAGAGGGCTGTGAATCCTCCTACTTCCTCACTTCATGTACATCCTAACTATATTCTTGGACCAAAGTGATTCATAAAAATTAAAGGGGCTAGGAGGATCAAAGGCTATGTGATTTCAGAATGGTGCTGTCATTTGTGTGGAGTTCTTCACATATTGGAACATTGAGGGCAGGAGTAGGCAACTGGAGTGCTTCAGCCTTTCCTTGGAGCAGACTTCTGGCAACTGCAAAGAAACCACATAAAGGCATTTAATAGCTTAGAAAGATTGCAGCCTCGTAGCCTCACTGAAGGCAGTAGCTTGGGGGCTGATGACTACCACTCTGCAATAAAGCTTAGGAAGCCCCTATGCCTTTATACTCTTTTACTTTCCTCTTTACCCCATTTATAAAACTCATAATAACTGATAGGAAGCATTCAGTTTAATTTCCCTTGCTTGGCTTCATTACCTAATTCTGTAAGTATCCATACTTGCACATACTTAATGGGAAATGTCCATGGGTTCCCAACCTCAAATCAGCTCATGCTACTTGGAAGATGATACATTGTACAAAGGACCCTAGAATATGGCAGGCGTTGTTCTAAGTGCTTCATTGATAGGCTTATTCAGTCTTCACAACACTCCTGGGGTGTGGTTTTATGTTCATCTCCATTTTATAAATGAGGACTCCAAAGCTCAGAGGAGGCAAGAAAAGTGCTCCAGGCCAAGGTCAGAATCAGAATTGAACCACGGAGTCTGACTTCAGAATTCATGCTGTTAACTGCTACATCAATGTCATAGCACAGAGATTATCTGAAGGAAGTGCTGAGCATTATTTCTTCTTTTAGCTTGATTCTTATATACAGTTGAATTACCAGAAAACTGAGGCAGTGGTTTTATTGCTGTGGGTACCCTTAATTATAAAAGAAACAGGAGAGAAGAAAAAGCTTGTATTAACTAGCCTAGTAGACTAGTTTCAATCCAGACTCCTAATGTACCAGTTATGTTAGATTTATTGCTAATTTCTCTGGACCTCACTTGTTTAACCAGTGAAATAGGGTCATGACAGCAGCATCTGCTTCATAGGGTTGTCATTGATATGAACTTACATAATACATTTAAAGTGCCCAGCACCATGCCTGACACATACATGTTAGCTGTTACTATTTTAAAACTACCTCCAACCCTTTGTGTAAATAGAATGGTGACAGAAAATGAACCAACTGGGTGGATTTCTATTAGAGCAGTACTGCTTAACAGAAGGTAATAAGGCACATGAATTTTATTTACAAGTCAGTGGTCTGTATTCCACCAATGGACCCACTTTTTTGCAATATTCTTCTTTGATCTGTGACTCAGGAGCCTTGTGTGGAAGTGTTGTTGTAATGCAGTGCATCAGGTATTTATTACACTCTAGGGTGGATCTATGTTGTCCCTAACCCTGAAATACAGCAGTGATCATATTGCTCGAACCCCTCCCAGTTCTGCCTGGGAATATGAAGGAGTCCTGGAGTGGGGCTTTACCTTTCTCTGCCAGCTAATTGGCAGTGGAAAATCAGTGTAGACAYAGGGAGGGCTAAGAAGTAGAAAGCATAAGTAAGATAGCAATCCTCTAAGGATATGGAATTCTCCTGGGTGGAGTCTTTTAGTCCACTGTACTGACTGAGATCTAATGCCTTCGGAAGATGGGTACTCCAAATAGGGGGTGTGACACAAACTCTCCCTGCCCCCAATCCTCCTCTAACTTTCTTTTTCTAAATGAAATTATGATTTCTGCCTTAAAATTGAAAATTTCTCTTTTATTCTCTCACCAAAAGAGCCCTAAAGACTATGTATTCCAATGCAGCTACTCTTTCTCGCAAAGTCTCCTTAGAAAATGATGGGAGTAGGAATCCCCACTTGAGGAAATTCYGTCTTTTATAAATAGCATCCCACATAACACCTGAAGGGTTAAACTTTGTTGGTGAGGAAGGGTATCAAGTGGCTTCCCAGGAGGAGATAAACCCCAGTTTAGAAACTGACACTTTTAAAATGTAAGCCAAGTATGCATTAGTTTGCACAGCTTCCTATGAAAGGAATAACTCATTGGCACCAGTGTGTGTGTGTGTGTGTGTGTGTGTGTGTGTGTGTGTGTGTGTGTGTGAGTTTGATCTGTCTTTGCCATTCTTCCTGTCATCTATATAATGTATGTATCAGAGTGAGGACTGTCAATCACAGTTAATAAAAACCCCAGAACAAAACAGGGGTCCCTTCTACTTTAGATCCATTTTATGATAGCTCTCAATTTAGTATGCCAAATAAATCAAAAGGGAAGCATTTTATCTTATCATTCAGAGGCATCCCTTCTCCTTTCGTGTCCTAGCCCCTCCCCCATGCTTGTTCCCAGCCCCTCAAAGATGCTTTGTGCAAGAAAGTGCAAGTTCCCATTCTGGCTTTATTTTTGTTCCCTTTTGCTCTCTTCCTGGCTCCCCCCCAAACCGAGCGAGCAAAGCAAATGGCCCGGGTTCCCCCCCAACGCCTGACCTGCGTTTGCTGGGAGGAGAGCGGGAGAGGGAGCGTGCATTCCGGAGCAGGCTGCTCTGACTCCGACCACAGGCTGTTTTGTGCAGGCTGTCCCTCTCCTTCAAAACCCTGCATCCCCTCCCCGAAGCAGCAGGCAGTGTGCCTTCATTCAGCCACATTTGGTATGCATGAGCACGGCTGCAGAGAGAGGGGAGGTGGCTTTCTTAAGAAGGTTCAGGGGCTCAGGAAACGCCACTTGACTAGTCTCCCAAGTTCCAGGAAGCCTCTGCCCTAATGGAATTTGCAGGTGTGGAGATGACCATGGGATGCCAGGGCCGTGGGGAACCATTTATTTTCTAGGCGTTGCTCAGGTTTGCAGTTTCTTGTTTTCCCGGTGGAATTTGGAAGGGGTCATGAATCAAACTGATGCTTCTCGACCCCTAAACTGGACCATCCGGAAGCTGTGCCACGCAGCCTTTCTCCCATCTGTAAGACTCCTTAAGGTACTGTAACTTGCTGCTTTGAATGGCTCTTATTGTGCTTTTCAGGTCTAAATATCCAACTTCGCACTTGGGCTGGGATGCACGTTTTGGGGAGTGCAAATGCATGCAGTACTGGCTCTGTTGCCCATGGCTGGAGAGAGATTCTCTGCACCCTTCATTGCCCCCACCCCTGCCTGGGAGGATGGTGTGAGCCACACTTGAGAAGGAGATTGTGGTCTCAGAGAATGGGCTACCTGAGTGCTCCCCCCACCTCTGTTAACCATTCCTAAAACAGAATTAATTAACTTCTTTGGGAGGGTGGGAATAAGAGTGGGTGTGAAATCTCTTACTCCCCTAGTGTTTGTCTCCTGGGCTTTTTTTTTTTTTTTTTTTTTTTCCCTCCCTGGGGAAGCCCTTCGACCTACTTTTCCTTAAATGGAACCAGGGAGAACAAAGGATTCTCCTCATTATTTTAAAAGCCCTGTTGTTAGGTGGTCAGTCAGGTAAAGACAAAGAAAGAATGTACATTATCAGATGGTGACTTTTTGGGTGCCCCTGTTTTTTAAAAAAGCATGATAATTTGTTTCCTGGAGTGAAGTCAGTAGTGGGAAAGTATTGTTCAACACATATTGAACKCAGCTCTCTCTAGCTCTGAGTCACACAAAAGATCCCCGCTACACCTGAGCTAGAATTGCCACCTTGTGTCCGTATTCTGCTCTTTCTAGAAGCACATGTATTAAAGATATGAAAAAGTCCATACAACTCCATAATAATCCACCTTCATCATCTGCTTTATAGGGAAAGAAATACAATTAAAATATAAAGACACAGAAAAGAAATAGTCTTGCCTAGAAAAGAGAATGTGGTAACACTTATTTGGGAAAAGTAGTATTTCTGAGGCTCTGCCTAGGTCAAGTTTAAAAGTTCTTAATTCTCTTTTCCATATCATAGGTGATCTTTTGATTTAATTTCCACTGGGCATTGAGCAAATCAGCTAAAATGGAGAATTAATGAATTAACCCTGAATAAATCATATTTATAGATTGTTTTTCTGAGACTATGTTCTGAATAGGTTAAGTTTAATAATCAATTTCATACAGCTAAGTGGCTCCTCTCCATAGTGTTAGCCATTGTCTGAGTTTCCCTGACCCCGTTAAACACAAACTGGTATTAACTTCCACAAGGGCTGTCCCCAAGTGCTCTTCAACCCCCCATCTTAAGGTTGTCATAGAGATGGTTTGCTTTCCAAAGGGAATATTTGGGGAGACAAGCAGATTTGGGCTCAGAGAGAGAGGAAGAGAGGCTTCCTAGGATATGTGTGCTTTTGCTATATTGGAACGACACGTGTGATAGGGCGTGAAAGAGAATGAGGCCAGAGAGTTCACAAATGRATGTAAATTCTCCTTYAGAATTACTAGTGAATCAAGAATCTGGGGCAAAGAATGTTTGGGCAAATCTAAGTATGACTGAGAAAGTCAACTCCGGTATTTCCATGTACAATGAGAACTATTTTTTTTTTTCTGTTAAAGTCATCTGTTGGCTTTACTCCCAAAGAATGCTTTACTCTTCTTAAAGGTTATGTGTATACATTATTAATGAATACTCAATGTTATTAATTAATACTCTAGTTTTTTAAATGGAAAATATTATTGATTACTGGTCACAAAATCAGCAAAGCGGTGCCTCCTTGAGGTGGGGTTGTGTATTTTTAAGAGTTATCATCTTTTTAAATCTGAAGTCTGTACTATATCCCAGGGGCTGTTGTGGGTGCTTTTGTTTTCATGCAGCTCCGTCCTGTCACCATTTACTAACGTGGTGCTTGACAACAGTTCATCTAACAAAGTGCATTAGTGAGTATTCCTCCAATCCTTTCAATATCTTGAAAGACAGGATGCGTTTTCCTGGGAACTTTCCAAATGACATCTGCATTTTTGAACGATCATATCTACCCTATGAGATTTTAGAAGCACATTTCAAACTCTTAAAGAAAATAAAGTGCTACCAGGTTTTCTCAGCAATGCTTAGAAAGCAATGAAATCTACTCATGTATATGAGCAATTGTATTATCCCCATAAATATGAATGCTATGTGTTTTTCCCCCTTTGGATTGGTGCTACTCTGTCTTTGCTTAGGCAGTGCCAGTGTATTCTTGCACTGTTTTTTTTTTTAATTGTTCAAGTGAAATGGAAGTCCATGAGTAATAATTTGCATCTTTGTGTAAATGTTCTTCCTGGCTTAGTCTTTAGATTAAATATTTAATAGCAGTTACTCTTACTATTCCTTCCTTAATTTTTGTTCCCTAACTTCCTCCTCTCTCAGACTCTTACTCCCCCTCTCCCATACCACCACCATGTTATTTTCATGGATGGATTCTCTGGCATCAAGAATTTTATCAAAATACTTGACTAAGAAAGCTAGTTTTCCTATTCAACAGGTAATTTTTGTTCCTCTTCCAAGCACTGTTCTGATGTGATATGCTCTCCAGTGCCCTGACTTGTCAGTAAATGCAGTGTAGGGCATGATGGCCTGATTAGATTTAGCTAAACGCAGACCATTCACCATTTCTGACAGACTGAGTTCAAGCCAATTTCCCCTTCTCATCCTTTCCTTGAAAGTGCATGGTTCTTTGCTAACTTACTTTGGTACCATATTAATATTTAGAAATGGCTTCATAATGCTATTTCCTGTATTTCCCATTTCCTAATGGAAATAAGATACTAAAAATCAGGAAGGGAAGGCCAGCCTCTGAAATATGAATTAGACACAATAAGTGTTAGAATATACTTATTATTTCTTCTGAAAACAAGAAATTTGTTGCTTTGTCCATCTCAGAGCAAATTTTAAATGAGCCAACCAACTTGCATTTTGAATTTGGGACTTTATTTGGAAATAACACTTGAAAATGAATTTCTGGACAGATACGTGGTAATGATGGCCAAAAGACAGAGCCAGTTTTCAAAGGGATAAATTTCCAATGGGACCCTTTCCAAGCTGATTCTCCTCTGTTATCATTTGCTTCATTCTTTTGTGTTTCAAGATTTTATCTTACCATTAATCACACAAAAAAAGTCAAGTTTGTTTCAGTGACAGAATGTTCTTAGCATATTTCATATTCATTATCAGGTCTGTCTCTGCCATTGTTTTATTTGGGAGATTTTATTTTGGTAACTCATGTTGAATTTGGAGGTTATTTTTAGGGCAGAGAGCTTTCTTAGTATTGAAGTCTTGGCAGACTTTCTGAAGGAAAGGCTCCTAGAAAAAGGGTTGCATTGGGAGAAAGGGAAGTTCCATATTTGTAAGATTTTGGATGGGCACATTTAAGTCACGTTGTTAATAAACACCAGATGATCAGTAGTGTGTTAAATTTCTCAGTGTTTTAAAATGTGCAGTGTTTTAAAATTGTCCGATTTGAGCAATGTCATCAATAAACAAATTAGACTTTAGAAAGTAGGCCTAAATACTGGGTCCTAATTCATGGTGTTCCCAACCAGCTGTGACCTTGGGGGAATTAAATAGTCTCTCTGTAACTTGGGATCCTCTRTAAAGTAAAGGGTTTGGATCTTGACTTAGATCCAGAAGTGTGATTCCCTTTGGTGGAGCCTGCCTTGCCCCAGGGGCTTGGAAGAGGACAGTCTCTTTGGGCTAAAAGGATTGAATATTAAAATGAGAAAAAGAAATGGGTGGACTGAATGAATGGCAGGGTTTGAATCTTAAGAGGACCTTGTCTACTAAGCTCAAGGCTGAGACTAATGAGTATAACTAAAGGAAATTTTGCAGTGAGGTGACCACTAGATTCTTGTATTATATAATTGTTCTGAAAACTGAGACCACAGGCCTGGAGAATTTATTAGAACCTAGGCTAAGGSAAAGTGAGCAGTGTAAAATAGAGGGGCTTGTTACATTGATTTGTGTAATAGAAGAATCTAGGATAGTTTCTGAGTTCCTGTCTTTCTTCTCTGATTGAATGTTGGTCCTACTGTCAGAATAAAGGTCCTGACGCAGAAGGGCAGAACCACATTGTGGTTCCCTAATGAAACGAAGGCGAAAGTCAAGCATGTGGTTCCTTTTCTCCCTCATCCCATTGATTAATGTGGGCCCCAGTGACTGTCCAACAGCAGAATTCTTTGAAGTATATAATCTGCAGTCAGAAGTATCMCTTCTAATTTTTTTACAGTGTATTTCCGTAATACAGCCTATCATAGATTTTAAGGTAAACTCCCCCTACCCTTGCCTGGGGAATTCAGTCATAAAGGTCAGACATTGGTTTTAGTTTTCTCTTCTCTTTTATACAGAAGCACTAATGAAAGTAAACTGGGTGATTCACTTGAAAAATTGTGTTCTATATGTGCAATATGAAATGAATTGCATTCTGCCATCATGTAAAACAAATTATAGTAAATAAATAATTTAATTTTTACAAAAAAGTAAACTGGGTAACTCAAGGGAATTGCTTGAGAGAACATTGATGGAATGAAGGGATTAGGTCAGCTCCAATTTTGCCCTAGTGCTGATATTTTATACTTCTATTAAAGCCAATGTCCATAATGTCCCCTTTGAAGCACAGCGAGACCTTAATAACCAGGTGAACTTGGTCTGACTTCTGTAGTGGAGAATTTACTAGAACCTAGGCTAAGGGAAAGTGAGCAGTGTAAAATAGAGGGGCTTGTTACATTGATTTGTRTAATAGAAGAATCTAGGATAGTTTCTGAGTTCCTGTCTTTCTTTCTGCACCTTCCAGAAACTGGATTCTCTTTGATGTTCTCCAAGAAACAGTTGACATTTGTTCAGAGTGTGTTTTACGTTTATGACCTCTAAGGCCACCAAGTCACATCTGAAATTCAGAATCTTATAAGGGAGTTAGAATAATACTAAGAAACCAGAATTTCTGTTTAGGCAGGACAGGATACTCCTGAACCTCATGGTGAACAGCAGTTAATGTCTACAGCCAGAGAAGACCCCCACACCTGTTATATCTATACACATTGGCAAATCAGTAAACAAGGGCACAAAACTTGTTAAGG